ATGCTGTCGTCTTCCCTCGCCAATAAAATAATTATTACGGAAAATATGCTTCTTCCCCTCTTGCACATTTTGTTTCTTTTGGGGGTCCCCCCAAAAGTATTGCATTTTATTAAGTAATCCTGCAGCATTTAACGCAACTGGGAATAAAACTCAAGGCAAAACTACCAATTGAGGCCTGCTTTTATGCACAAGCATGCGCTACGCCTGAACGCTCCAGCTCGTTGTTCGTGTTTTTGAGCATATTTACACTTTATGAATACTCGTTTTCGTGGACGATATAATCTTTTAAAAATAGACATGTAGTTAAAGGCGATTTCAAATCAAAAAAATCAACACTGCGTTGTCATTAAATCTCATTACAACGCAACTTCGTCTTCTCATTGACAATGAACCATTGCAAAATGTGATTTGCATTTGCCGACATACAACAAAACTTGGGTAGAAAGTCACCTAACGGAATCTCGATATTCAGAAAACCTGGTACATTCTTGTCTGTCAACACGAATATGTCAGTAATTTCAACAGGCTGTTCACCCAGTCTGTTCAAGGGGCATTTTAAGGGGGATGTTGTCGTTGGCAAGATGGGATGAAATATAAGAGGGGAAGTGCTTTAATGAGGAAGATGGGAATTCAGGCTGTTAATTATTTGGTGAACTTGTATTCGATTTTGTTTAAGGTCTTGTTAAAAAAAAGTAGAAAAAGAAACGTAATGCAGACCAGACCCGAAGTCACAGAAACAAGCACACGGTTTCAATCTGTTTTTTACGGTTTCACTCGCCAGGGTTCACGGAGGGAAACTGACAAGTAGAATCAAATGTCTATTTAGAATAGCTTGTACAAATCACGCGAGTGTGCGCACGCAGCCTTGTCACTTTTATTTTTCAAAGAAGTTTGATATTTTGATATGATGCTGGTCAATTGGGCAAGCGTTCATTCTAGCGCATTTTACTACCCAAAAACACAGCATTTGAACCGTGTCATGAGCAGTCGGCCTTTTATTATATTTTCCTCAATACAACTAAACACGATTCAATGTGTTTTTTAAACCTCACTATCTCGCCACAGAACATTGAAGACCATTTTTTTTCTGTCAGGAAAACACCTGCCCGTCGTTATATCCACTTATGAACCCCTATTTGCTTTCGCTTTGAAAGTTCTATTCAAATCATGTCATTTTAATTATTTTTTTCAGTCTGCCCAGCCATAAATCCGCTTTTGGGCGAATTACATATTCTAGGTCAGATATTTGCTTTATGCTTTGCAAACTATATATTTTTTTTCATTACCACAGCGTCACATTGATGGAATATTTGCACCCCCCCCTCCTCGGGCTCCTGCAGAGTATAATGCATTAATTGTGTATTGTTCAGTGGAGTGTATGTTGCCTTTGGCCCGTTAAACGCGCAGCACTAACTTTACCCAACTTTATTTTGTTGCAAAAGATGACAATTCTCTAAATTAGAATATCGCAGAAGCTGCAACGCGACAATTTAAACGAAATAAAACGTGAATGAAATCGATTAATTCTTTAGACATGCCCCAGTAAATAAAAAAGAAATGCCGGCAAGCAAGAATACAGTAGATCTTCCTGCAAACGGCCCGGACGCTGTGTGCTTTGTATATCAAGTAGCTGGTTAAGCGCTACAGAAAATAAATTAAAAAGCGTGAAGTTCTAAACGTGTGGAGCTTGTAGGTATATAAAAAAAAAAAATAATTAAATAAATGAATAATTTAGAGACCGCATTTCCCTAAACGAACAGGCTCGTGATTTATTGACAAAGGACTTTTTTTTTAATGACTAATTTTGTATATGTTGTGCTCTTCTTCATGAGTTTGAGCATGTGTCTCAAATTAATGTTACGTCATTACGTGGTCCATTTGAATCAGTTTGTGTGTCTGTGAAGAAGCAAACTTTTATGATGATCTGTAAAAAAAAAACAAAAAAACATTGCAGTCTAAGCATTTTTAAAACAGTTCATATTTTCGAGTTGATGAACTTTCAATGTATGAGCAGAAGATGGATTTTTTTAAAGCACAAAATGGGTAAAAAAATAATGATTATATTCCCCCCTATGTTGGTTTAGTGTGAGTATTTGGGGGGGAAAAGAGAGTAGGGGAGAACGAAGGCCTCTGCGAGTCCCCTCCCTCCCCAATCTGAACACTGTACACCCTAAGTGAATCCGACTGCAATTATTTTCTTCTTTTATCGTTGCAGACGATCTTTTGCACCCTCCTCTGCGAAGACAAAAGTATCTGTTTGATGTCTCAACCCTTTCAGACAAAGAGGAGCTGGTTGGGGCGGAATTAAGGATATTTAGGAGAGCTTTGGGAGACTTCAAGACGACAGACCTCTACCACATCCAACTTTATCCCTGCAGCTCTGATATGCTGATGGACTCCAGGCTGCTGGACCCTTTGGACTCTACCAAGTCCAGATGGGAGGTTCTGGACGTGTGGGAGATGTTTAAATCTCATAAACATCAGCAGCAATCCCATCATCATCGTCATCATCATCCTGAACATAAAGGGAACCAGCTCTGCTTTCAGCTCAGAGTCACTCTTGGTAATTCCGACACTGAGCTGGACCTCAGGGTGCTGGGTCTGGACAGGACCGGGCGGTCCCAGCAGGAGAAAGCCATTCTGGTGGCCTACACCCGCTCCAAGAAAAGGGAGAACTTGTTCAATGAGATGAAGGAGAAGATCAAGTCGCGGAGGTCTATCAAGGAGACAGAGGTGGTGAGAGCGTCAGCGGAGGTGGAGGAGTTGGAGGAGGAGGGGATACCCCGAAGGGGGGTCAGAGGGGAGGGGCCCCGGAGGCGGAGGAGGACAGCGCTGAGCAACCGTCATGGGAAAAGACATGGAAAGAAATCCAAATCCAGGTGCAGCAAAAAGGCGTTGCATGTGAATTTTAAAGAGTTGGGCTGGGACGACTGGATCATCGCACCCTTGGACTACGAGGCTTACCACTGCGAAGGGGTGTGTGATTTCCCGCTCAGATCCCACCTGGAACCTACCAACCATGCCATCATACAGACTCTAATGAACTCCATGGACCCCAACAGCACCCCACCCAGCTGCTGTGTCCCCACCAAACTGAGCCCAATCAGCATCCTGTACATAGACTCAGGCAACAATGTGGTGTACAAGCAGTATGAGGACATGGTGGTGGAGCAGTGTGGGTGCAGGTAGCGGCCATTCGGTCTAAAAGGAATTCTTTTACAAAAGACACATCAATCCATGATGATGTGGGCGGAAGGGTGATAGAGTCCTTACAGGATACCTCGACTCATGATATCCACGTGGGACACTCGATGCGATGTTTGCTTATTTATTCCAACTCACCGCTCACAAAAATGCACACTCTCTGCCTTAAAGTGTTATTTCCCAACCATGCAAAAGTTAACAGTCATCAAACAGGCCCTTGTTTCCCAGAGATGTGTCCATTGTGTGATGGAATCCCATTGGGTGCCACTGTGCACCTGTTCGTGCTGTGGCTGTAGAGCACAGAGGCTTTTTGCCTGTCAGCGTTTGGACTTGCAAGCTCTTGTTGTGCAATCGTGTCTGTAGGGCGGACGGACTCTTTTGGGTCTGTGCATCCACCTCATAATTGCCTCTGTCCGGCTGGAGTCATTAAAGGCTCGTGCAAGTGCATGTTTTGAAAGAAAAAAAAAAGAAGTGAAATGAAAGGGGAGAGAATGTCACACGCACACGCATAGATGCACACAGAGAGTCAGAGAAGAGGAGATAATGCCTTCAAGAGATTTTTGCCGACTGCAGACCGGTCGGGAGGCGCTGTGAGGGTCATCGTGTGCTTTTGTGGACGGGAAAGGACAAAAACGGACTTGTTGGCCCTCTGTTTTTGCAGAAAGATCTTTTTAAAAGCACATACATGTAAAGTGAACTTTTTTTTTTTTTGCTCAAAAGTCTGCATCGTTATGAAATGCACTTCCGCAGCTTACTGCGCCAAGAAGATATTTGAAATTTTGTCTGCTCTGGTGAGGAAAATGTAATACAAGAGACTCGCAAATGAAGCGATATTTAAATGCACATTAGCTTTGAATGCACTGCTGTTCAATATTTTTGAGCTGTAAATATTTTGTATAGTCGATAACTTTACAAAGTGCTCCGAATGAAGAAATGAGAGAACTGCATTTCTTTGTAAATGTACAAAATGCACTCAAATCTGTATAATTTCTATTCTATAATTATTTTATTATTTGTGATGTACAGAGTTTCTTGATAATCATATATTTCTTACATTGATAAGAGTAATTTAAGGTGTATTCTTTTTTTTTTTTTTTTTTTTTTTTTTTTTGCAGAGGGTGCAAAATACCATTAAGTGTCTACCTCATCATTGCATTTTGGACCTGAGTTTTGAGGTGCATTCAGTGTAAAGAGCTTTTACAGTATATATCAGATCATCTATATTCATATATTGATGGATACTATTTCACTCCATTACTGTACAAATAAAATTCAAAACCAAGTCCACAAGCCTTGTATTTGGATGAATTCCACCCTCATTTTGTTTTGTGTATTAAAGCCAATAAAACATTGCTGGTCATCTGTACTTCAGTGAAATAGGAAAAGGCAATTGTTTGTCTCATTTTCATTTCATATTCACGTTTTTACATTTGTGTGGATCTAAACATTATGTTGCTTCCAGTTCAATGCAAGTCACATCATAAAAGTCATGAGTGTAAAGGCAAACTTTAAGAAAATACTGTACAACTTTATGAAAAAAATGGTGTTCCTTGGCATTCCTTCCATTGTCAACTAAAGTGTCATTGTAGGTCAATATGTGTAATGTTATGCAATATTAACACCCAAAACATGCTTCCGTGCCAAACCATTATTATTTGCAGAGTTGGATATACTTGGCGGTTCTTTGTTGCGTCACTATACAAGTGTTCAAAACTCAAATTACTTACAATTTAGTGGCAAGCAAAAGTTGACTTGTATATCTGAAAAGTCATCTAATTTGTGAGTCTGAGTGATGTAATCAAATCGACGCATATTTGCACCCTGTAACCTGATAACATGATAAGCTGTAGTAACCGCTGTTACGGAAAGGGTTATATTAAAACATTAAAAAAAAAAAAAAAACTATTATTCTCTTTCAGTTTAGACTGAATGTCATTTTAAGAAAGAAAAAGTACAATGTAACAATTTTGCTAATAATTAAAGACTTTGAGACTATTCAGATACAGACCGTGAGCCATGAGCAGTATTCCCAAGTATTTGGGCCAGTCTCTTCTTGTCATTTGGGAACAGTCAATCTTCCTAAACAGCAAATGCCATAAATGCCTGCACACGGTTTCACACAAAAGCCATTTTGCGAACATCGCCATACACATATGGTGACCGTCCAAGTGGGGCAATCCACAGCCTGACTGTCACTGATATGGCACCGAATGTACAAAACTCCAGCTATTTCCCAATGAATTAGCCCGCCTGGGTCAAGTTTACTTAACACTTTAATGTTTTTCAATCTGTGGATGAAAAGTTGGAGAGAAAGGGATTGCTCCCATATAGGCTATCGACCTTGGCCTGGAAACAATTAGGAAATTGCTTTGAAAGGTTATATGTTGTCCAGACTCTTGTACAGTATCATGTCACTCCTCACATGCTTGTGAGGGGGAAACAGAGGATGCTAAGTGCACTCTTTAGCAGGCGCGGCAAATGACTGACACAACAACCATCCCCTTGAGTATAACCAAATGGCCCTACAGGCTATATGTCTGGAACGCAACAGCCATGGTGCTACTTGAGACTTGCTATCTTCTCTAGTGAGCATTCTCGGAGATAGTTGGCACTGTTGACAGAAATGAGAAGAAGTAACAAAGACAGATTAAGCGACTGAGCACTAAATTATTGGATAAACCTTTTATTTGTGATTTATATTTATTTGACAAGTTTTCTGGTTTGGTGGGCGCTGGCCGGGAGGTGAGACTGAATGTGGAGGGAACAGTTAAATTGTGATGAAAGGGAAAGGAATGCTTTGTTTACCCGCTCAATCCCCCTCTCCTTAAGTTAAATGTTCCAATAAAACTTCTTCATGACAACCGCCGTATTGTCCCCCCGCTGCACGCCCAAGTAGAGAGAGCAGAAAGAGAGTTGTGTTTATTTGAAACTTGCTTAGGGTGTATTAGTCCAAGCAAACCAAAATTGGCAACGAGACGGGTTCTTTTCATAAGAAATGTGGAGAATGTATAACACAAATAGTCTTGACACCCCACATCTGTGTTTGAAGGCTCCTCTTTAGGGCAGTGGTAGGCTCCAACCCAATCACACACACACACACACACACACACACACACACACACACACACACACACACACACACACACACACACACACACACACACACACACACACAAAGTGAAGATCGACATGGTGATGGTGTGAGCGGGAAGCCGGGGAGCCTCTCCAACATATAAAAACCAACTTGGCTCATTTGGAATGTGAATGCTCCTCATTCTTAACCTTCCCTTTATCAGTGATGTTCTCATCAGGATAAACATAGACAATCCATCTTGCTGATAGCTAAGATACCCGGGACATCGAAAGCAAGCGGAAATATGTTAAGTGGGAATCAAGGCGCATCATAACATCTATTGTTAGCCTTGTAATTCATTGAAATACAACTAACTAGTAGAAAAGTGAAAAAAAGCCTGACACTTGGCCAAGGCCTGACTTTCATATTGATAAAATCCAGCACAAGCATATTTTTCAGTAATGATGTTTCTCATTAGAAGGGATCTTGGCTCCGGAGGGATCCTGTTTTTTCCTCTGCCTTGTAGTTCTTGTTGTTAGTGATTTGATACCGTGGCTATATTTTTGATAAAGTTTGACACTTTTTTAAATTGACATGGGCAAGGTCCAGGATATGGTCTCGGTGAAGTGCGCAATTACACACATCACTAAAGGTGTCTATCTATCTATCTCTCTATCGTGCGTCCATGCATTTGTTTCTATGTAAGTATTGCGAGTGGAGAGAAGGGCCACAGTGCACACAGATGGACTGATGAGGGATTCAGCAGAGCAGCAGATGCCTCAAGTCAACCCTCCTTCTGTCTTTGACTGAACCTCTGGCTCCAACACAAAGGCAGGGGCGGCCCTATACGTTAAATACACTTGCTTGTGCCTGAATGGCAAAGGTCATGTTGCCCCCCCCCACGTCCATTTATACTCATGAACTCACTGAACAACAACTAAATACCCATCGTTACCACACTGTCACATTTTCGGAAACCATTTGAATCCAACAATCAAAACTGAACATTAAAAAAATAGAGGTGGTCACCTCTTGGGAGTGAAGGCTGCCAGTAATTATTTATTTATTTATGAGTTACACTTATCGTTTGGAAGCTGGGCTTTATAATCAGAAGCACAAGTTGCTTGCAAGATATGCTTGGCTTACCTGACTGGAAAAGCATGCTTTTTTTTCCTGCTGTTTATTTTCTAAAGGAATGTTGAGGGTGCCCTTTCACCTCTTCTCATCAATTTACTACCCCTGGTCTACGTTACAGATGGTGACCCTGTCCTCGTCATCCCTGGTTAACAAGTACACCTACAGATTCTCCATCAAATCTCTGCTTAGCTTGCAGTCCATCTTTTTTTTTTGTTGTTGTTGTTATGGGAAGTCACTGTGAGCTCATGTGAGGTTCTGAATGAGCCTGAGCCAAAGGTAAATTTACTCTGTCAAGTGTGACAATACTGATGTTTGGAAGCCAGGCAAGGACATGACCTCAGTGCCAATTCACATCCACAACTTGAGTGGACAGGGAGGGAGGGTAATTTACCAACACTATTTTCACGTGCGGACACTCAGCCCAGGCAAATAAAGCTGCCTTTGTCCGACATTGCCTTGAAAGTTGAAATTTGAATGAAACATACAAAAATGAATTAAAATGGCAGCCAATATGCCTTTGTTAGACCTCTTCAAAAACACAATTGGTTCCTTTTGAATTAAATTCATACCGTAGAGATCAAAGAATGGCATTTCAAACCCCAATAGGAGCCTGATTTTAAAAAAAAAGTGGTTGTAAACCATGTTTTAATTTTCTTGTCAAGTAAGACACGCAAGCAAACAGATCAGGGGCAATGAGGCAGCAAGACAAGGATCTGAGCTTGAAAGGCAGATGGCTGTGGGGTGGAAGGTGGATGGTGGAGGGGTGCACGAGGACTTGATGGACAACTCCACAACTCAGCAGAGGCAGAGCTTTCACTTAAAAATGGTGCCTGGCCTATCTCAAAAGGTCAGAGCCCAGAACACTAACACACTACATTAATCATGAGAGGCTGTGGCCTACCTGTCTAGTGTTTCAGCTGTGGTGTACAGTTAACCTTAATTATGTCTGATTGGGAGGTGTGGAAGATAAAGGATATGAACCAGGCAAACGATTGGACATTAATAACGTAATTTCAGATTGGATGGCGGTGTCTCTGCAAAATTGAAAGAGTAATGTTTTCGCTAGCATTTAGCACTTACATATTTTCTTAGTGTTAAATATCCAAGATCAAGCATCTGAATATATTTGTCTGAGCTTCAAGGAAACATGAATATGCACAAGCTACTGGCAGATAACACCGCAAAAATATACGGTGCTCAGTCTTTGTTTTCAATGCCGTCCTCTAAAACACAGGCGGTATTTACAGAACAAAACAAGTAAA